GATGTTGCCCAAGTTTTGGGCTCGATCCGAAATCAATAGGTGTGAGAAATTGGACAATTCAAGTTCAACGGAAGTTCGTTCCTAATTGGAGTGGTTGGGGTATTCCATACTTCTAGCCAAGTGACTCACGAACATCCTCCAACTGAAATTACTCCAAAATTCGTCCATTTGATTATGTTTTGCTCCAGAGAAAGTCGAAAGTCCTATATTGAGAAAACAATTCAAAGTATCAAAATTCTTCCAAAATATGAACCAAAATGTACCAAGAATGGGGTTAAATATATAATATAAAATATACCCATCAAAATACCCCCAAACTTAGCTTTTTGCTTGTCCTCAAGCAAAACAAATCTAAACAACAAAAATAAATAAGTAAAAACTAATAAACGAAAAACTTTAAATAAAACCTAACTAAACAAAATTTCCATTCAAGTTTCAATCCATAGAAAATGTTAAAAATCAGAACATCTTTTCAACAGTTTCAACCAATCCCACTACAGAGTCTAAGCCATTTAGAGTCAATTAGAAAAGAATTCACAAATTTCCTTTGGTGTAAAGTGAACCATCATAGTTAAGGAGACTCGACTAAAACCCTTACCTCTCATCCCTTTTATTCAAACTTCACACACTTATTTCACTTTTGTTTTTTTTTTTGTTTTTTTTGTTTTTTTTTTCTTTCTTTTTTTTTTCTCTTTTTTATTTATTTTTAATAATGGTGGTCATGCAATGTCGGATCACTTAAGCTTTCGATCCAACCCATGTAGCGAGCTTTAGGTCAATGACTCCCAAACCAACTAAGGCTTTAGGGCACTAGGTGTAGAACACCCCTAAGGACTTATTAACCCGAGCTGGAAAGGCTACGAAACCAACTAACCACCCTGCCCCATGCCAAAACTCTACCGTTTGACTCGAGAATCACTGCTGATTAGGCAGGACTGGCCCGGTTACTAGCAAAGCGTCGGGTGAGGCAATTATTACTTTATAACACATACTAACTTTATTTTATATAGAACAAAAATTAAAACACACTTGGACAAAAAGTAAGTATTTTGATCTCACTCCCCACAAACCATGTTGGTGTGATGTGCAAATTTCAAAGTGTAATTCATGAATTAGTATCCAAGCAACAATAAATAGAAAAGACTCTAATGAGGGATTGATCTTCACCATGTCCATTTGTTCTAACCTTTAAAATAATCTATGGATATTAACTTAAAACGAAAATTTTAAACAAGACTCAAAAAATTTAAAAATCTAAAATTTACTTTCCCACCCCCAAACTGTAGTCACACATTGTCCTCAAGGTGTGGAAAATAAAATAAGGCAGTTAAGAAAAATAGCAAAGCCAAAAATAGAACAGAGAAAGAAAATGCGAGCACCAATAAAAGAAAGAACCGAAGAAAAAGTTAAAACAAGAAAAGAAGGAGAAGAGCACACCTGGCAAATTGTTGAGGAGTCACTAAAATTGAACAGCAAGAGTGGACGCTGGCCATTACCCACTTGGATGAAATGTTGAAAGTGTTGTCTGTAGCTCTTTTTTTATTTTTTTCTTTTCTTGTCTCTTGTTTTGAATTGAATTGACGCACCCAAATGGGAATGGACGCCAGCTAGTAGCCTCCATCAGTCTCTCCGTCGTTATTTATCGCTCAACTTCTCCTTGGCAGACCAAAAAGGAACCAAAATCTCTCTCTTGTGGGTTTCTCAAAACTCAAACCCTTCCCTCTCTCTGTCAGCTCAATCACCTGCGCCCACAATCGATTTGGTTCTCTCTCTTTTGTCAAAACACAGAACGCTCTCTTCTCTTAGCGAAACTCAACACACCAGCAGATCGTCGCTCAAACCATAAACAGCCTTTCTTTGAAACTTCAATCCGTGAGTCTCCAAATCCGATCTGGTCATTGTTGGTGTCTTTTTGGTTCAGAGACCTAACACATATTGGTCGCAGATTGCGGCTATCTGATAGATCTGAGGAGAAAAGATGCGCAAGGAGCAAATCTGTTAGGAAAATGAAAGAGACATCTCCCAGTGTGCAAGATAGGAATCCGGAAGGTATAAACGCTTGTCCTTGCGCTTCGCACTTTGAGTATTGGGCATGAGACATAATCTGGTTCATGAAAAACATATGCTGAGTAATAGTCAGTTCTGGCATGTGTAGGAACCCCAATGTGGCCTCGGTGCAAAGGTAGCAGCTATGAACAGCTCTGATGTCCATATGAAAGTAAGATGACCAACCAAGTTTGTTGTGGGTTGTGATCTGTATGGAGGTTTGTTCTTTGTCTCTGCAAGTACTGATATGGATGTGCATTGTGTAGGAAAAAGGTATATCCAGGAGAGGTGCAAGGGCAAGGCAGGGAACACACAAACTTAGAGGACAACGCAGCACCAAAAAAAAAAAAAAATTCGAGGATCCCAGATCTGGCATCTGGCAGGTATAATTTTGAATTCCGTAAACTGGCTGCTGGGTGCCTGATTCCAGTGTAGGATTTGCTGCTGGGTGCATGATTCTAGCATAGGAATAGCTGCCTTTGATGTTCATGTAGACTTGCTACTGGGTGCATGATTCCAGTATAGGATAATCTGCTAGTATGTTTGTTGCTGCTGATGGTTGTGTCCTGAATTGAACCAAATATGTGTTAGGAGTATAAAGAAATTAAAACAACTAGATAAAGAAAAACAAAATAAAAGAAAGAAAGAGTTTAGAAACATTGGGTTGCCTCCCAATAAGCGCTTTATTTTAAGTCTATAGCTAGACGTTGCAGAAGCCTGGTGGTCAGATCACTGGTTCCTTCAGAGTCAGTGACTCGCGTGCAATATCGAAGGGCGACTCCAAATATGGTTTCAGCCTGTGACCGTTCACTTTGAATGTGTTGCCATTAATTTCACTTGTAATATCAACCGCCCCATGAGGATAAACCTTAGTAACCAAATAGGGACCATTCCAACGAGACTTTAACTTCCCTGGAAATAACTTCAACCTTGAACTAAATAACAAAACTTTTTGCCCTGGATGAAAATTCTTTCTGAGAATTTGAGTGTCATGAAATGCCTTGGTTTTTTCTTTGTAAATGCGCGAACTCTCATAAGCATCATTACGAATTTCCTCAAGCTCATTAATCTGCAATTTACGTTTTTCTCCAGCGGAATCATAGGAAAAATTCAACTCTTTAATAGCCCAAAACGCCTTATGCTCTAGCTCCATAGGTAAGTGACAAGCCTTACCATAAACCAGCCGAAATGGGGACATCCCAATTGGGCCTTTAAATGCTGTTCTGTACGCCCAGAGAGCATCACTCAATTTCAAACTCCAGTCTCTTCGAGTAGAGCTAACTGTTTTTTCAAGAATTCGCTTGATTTCTCTATTTGAAACTTCAACCTGTCCTGATGTTTGTGGATGATAAGGAGTAGCAACACGATGGGTGATCCCATACTTAGCCAACAACGTAGCAAACGATCTGTTAACAAAGTGCTTACCCCCATCACTTAGAATGACACGCGGTGTTCCAAATCGTGGAAAAAGTACCCCTTGGAGGAATTTCAGAACAACTGATCCTTGATTGGTTGATGCTGCAATTGCCTCAACCCATTTAGAAACATATTCAACAGCCACCAAAATATACTGATTGCCATGGGACATTGGGAATGGTCCCATGAAATCAATACCCCAAACATCAAACAATTCAACGACTAATATACTTTGTTGAGGCATTTCATTCCTTTTGGACTGATTACCCACCCTTTGACAACGGTCACAAGATCTACACCAACTATTTGCATCCTTGAAGAGAGTAGGCCAAAACAATCCACTTTGCAAAATTTTAGCTGCTGTTCTTTTAGGGCCAAAATGTCCCCCACAAGCATACTGATGTGCAAACTTTAAAACACTTTCATGCTCTTCTTCTGGAATACACCTGCGAATAACTTGGTCTGAACAATATTTGTATAAATATGGTTCATCCCAAAAATAATACTTTGCATCTGCCAAAAATTTCTTTTTCTGCTGGAAAGTAAAATCTGGATGAAGTACCCCTCTAGCCAAATAATTAACTAAATCAACAAACCATGGTGAAATGATATGGGTAGCAAATAGTTGTTCATCTGGAAAATTTTCATTCAAAGGCAGCAAGTCTTCTTCTGCAGAAATTGGCACAATCAACCTGGACAAATGATCAGCCACAACATTTTCACTACCCTTCTTATCCCTGATTTCTAAGTCAAACTCTTGTAGTAAAAGAATCCAACGAATTAATCGAGGCTTAGCATCTTTCTTCGACAACAAATACTTCAAAGCTGCATGATCTGTGTAAACAATCACCTTAGCCCCAACTAAGTAAGAACGAAATTTTTCTAATGCAAAAATAACTGCCAACAATTCCTTCTCTGTGGTCGCATAGTTCAGCTGTGCATCATTGAGAGTCCGACTAGCATAATGAATGACTTGGGGAAGCTTATCTTTCCGCTGTCCAAGAACCGCTCCTACTGCGTAATCTGAAGCATCACACATCAATTCGAAAGGTAAACTCCAATTAGGTGCTGCAATAATGGGTGCTGTAGTGAGGAGTGTCTTTAACTTGTTGAAAGCCTCCAAACAAGCATCATCAAAAACAAAAGGAGCATCCTTAGCCAATAAAGTACACAATGGTCGGCTAATCTTGGAGAAATCCTTAATAAACCGTCTGTAAAACCCAGCATGACCAAGAAAAGATCGAACACTTTTAACAGTTGTCGGTGGTGGCAGCTTTGCAATTACATCAATTTTGGCCTTATCAACCTCAATACCCCTGTTAGAAATCAAGTGGCCTAGGACAATCCCCTGCTTAACCATGAAATGACACTTTTCCCAATTTAAAACAAGGTTTGTCTTAATGCATCTGTCAAGAACTAGGGATAAATTGTTCAAACATTCATCAAAAGAATCCCCAAAAACAGAAAAGTCATCCATAAACACTTCAACTACCTGTTCAACCAATCCGGAAAATATGCTCATCATGCATCGTTGAAACGTTGCAGGAGCATTGCACAAACCAAAGGGCATTCTTCGATATGCAAAAGTCCCAAAAGGACATGTAAATGTTGTCTTCTCTTGATCCTCAGGTGCAACTGGAATTTGGTTGTACCCTGAATACCCATCCAAAAAACAATAGAACGCACGACCAGCCAACCTTTCCAACATTTGATCAGTGAAAGGCAATGGAAAATGATCCTTTCTAGTACCCGCATTGATCTTTCTGTAATCAACACACATACGCCACCCAGTAGTCAAATGTGTAGGCACAAGTTCATTATTATCATTCTTCACAACTGTAATTCCAGAACGCTTGGGCACCACTTGAGTTGCACTAACCCACTTACTATCTGAAATTGGGTAGATCATCCCAGCATCTAGAAGCTTCATAACTTCAGTACGAACCACTTCTTTCATAATTGGATTCAAACGACGTTGAGCATCAATGGTGGGCTTTACTCCATCTTCCATAAGAATTCGATGCATGCAAATTGTAGGGCTGATCCCTTTAATGTCTGCTATAGTCCAACCGATTGCATCTTGATAATTTCTTAAAATACGCAGCAATTTTTCTTCTTCTGTTGATGATAAGTCAGCAGCTATAATAACTGGCAGCGAAGAATTTGCACCTAGATAAGCGTATTTCAAGTGTCCTGGCAGTACTTTTAAATCCAGTTTAGGTGGCTGTACTTTAGAGGGCTGCAATGGTTTTTTTGGTTCCCCTAAACTCTCAAAAACGTGCCTCCAACGGGGGTGTAGAAAAGGAGCACTTTCCAAAGCTGAAACATACTCAAAAACCTCTTCATCTGCAGTGTTTTTATTCTCCAACCCATGCAACACCTTTAACAATGGATCTGATGTCAAACGGGGCATAATTTCAGCATGCATTAAGCTATCTAACATGTCAACACGCATACAATCTTGCACATCAGCTGGCCTTTTGGTTACTTCAAATAAACTGAAAATAACGGACTGATCTTGCACTCTAAGTGTAAGTGTCCCAGCCTCAACATCAATTAAGGTTCGAGCAGTAGCCATGAACGGACGCCCCAAAATAATCGGTGTTTGCATATCTTCATCCATATCCAAGACCACAAAATATGCAGGAAGATAGAGATTATCCACTTTAATAATGAGATCTTCAATAATTCCCCTAGGGTAAGCAACTGAACGATCCGCTAGTTGTAGAATAACTGATGTAGGCTTGATTTCTCCTTGTCCTAGCCTCTGAAAAACAGAAAAAGGCATTAAATTAATACTGGCACCCAAATCAATTAAAGCACGTTTAAAATTAGAATTTCCAATTGTGCATGAAATTGTAAAACTCCCTGGGTCTTGTTTCTTTGGAGGCAGTTTGTGTAATAAAACTGCGCTGCACTGTTCTGTAAGAATGACTTTTTCAAAATCCACTAGCTTCTTTTTCTTTGTGCAAACATCCTTTAAAAACTTAGCATAAGATGGAATGTTCTTAATTGCATCAATCAATGAGAGATTTATCTGAACTTTGGCCAACGTCTTCATAAAATCTATCAATTGTTGATCTTTAACTTTGGGCTTCAACCTTTCGGGATAAGGCATTGGAGGCACATAAACACGTTCTGCAGTTTCTGCAGCACTTTTTTCACTGTTTTCGGGTCCGCCCATAGATGCTGTAGAATCTGCAAAAACTTCAGAATCTGCAAATTTTCCTGAATCTGTTTGTGGCTGTGATGCTGCCTGCGAATTTCCAGCACAAATGTCACCTCTATTGTCATAACTTTTACCTGAACGTAGAACTCGAACTGCCTTACAATCTGCGCATCCCCTTGGATTCTGTTCAGTTTGGCTAGGAAATGTACCCGGTGCTCTTTCTGAAACTTGGAATGCAATCTGCCCCATTTGTTTTTCTATGTTTTTCACTGTTGCCTGTAAATTTTGGAATTCTTGACTAGTGGCGTTTGCTAATTTTTCAATTGCAACCTCCCAAGCAGCCTTAGGCGCAGCAGGTTGTTGTACCTGTTGTTGAAATTGTGGCCTTGCAGGCTGATCTCTGTCCCACTTAAAATTAGGATGATCTCTCCAACCCGGGTTGTAAACATTTGAATACGGGTCATATCTTGGACGCTGGAAATTATTAAATGCATTAACTTGTTCCGCTGCAAATTCCGGATAAGCATCTTTATGCGGACAACTCAAAAAATCATGGGTTGTCACATTGCAAATGCTACAAGCAGCTGGTAAAGGCTGTTGTACAGCAACCTGTGAACCTGGAATTCTTTGTAATAACATGTCAAATTTTGCATCAAATCTTTCAAGCTTTTTCTCCATTTTTTCAATTTGTGCCGACATATATGGAGAACCATTAGATATCTCAAAAACAGACCTAGATTGTGGCTGCTCAACTGCCCATTGATGTGTATCTGCTGCCATTTTTTCAAATAATAAACAAGCCTCTTGTGCATTTTTATCCTTGTACGAACCGCCGCATGAAGCGTTGACAAGAGTTTTTGTTGTCATATTTAACCCTCTGAAAAATATATGCACTTGATCCGTACTGCTAATACCAGAATGTGGGCATTTTCTATTCAACTCTTTAAACCGTTCCCACGCCTCATGAAACTCTTCATTTGGTTTTTGGGCAAAAGATAAAATTTGAGTTCTCATGTCGAGAGTCTTTGAAGTTGGATAATACTTGTTTAAAAATTTCTCACTGAGTTGGTTCCAAGTGCTAATGCTTCCATATGGAAGTGTGAGGAGTTTCCCACGCCTCATGAAACTCTTCATTTGGTTTTTGGGCAAAAGATAAAATTTGAGTTCTCATGTCGAGAGTCTTTGAAGTTGGATAATACTTGTTTAAAAATTTCTCACTGAGTTGGTTCCAAGTGCTAATGCTTCCATATGGAAGTGTGAGGAGTCATCTCCTTGCTTGATCTTTCAATGTGTATGGAAATAAACGAAGCTTAATAGATTCAGCTGAAAATCCTTTCACCAAAATATTCTTGCATCCCATTAAAAATTCTGCAATGTGCATGTTAGGATCATCGGTTGATAACCCATGATATGTAGGTAGAATACTCAACATGTGATGCTTGATTTCGAATGTAGACCCTTCCTCCACTGCTGGATATGTAATGCAACCTGGTATGTTAGTTGCATGAGCTGTTAAAGAATTACCCAAAGGATCACCAGCCTCTGGAATAACAAAAGCCATTGTTTCTTTACTGTGCAGGTCCTCAGAATATAAAGACTGCAGAAAAGTTCCTTGGAGTGAAGGAACCCACAGCAAATTTTGCTCCCTGCTTCTCCTCCTTAAAGATTGCTCAGGTTCTGGATCAAACGGAAACAATTGCTGAACTGCTGAACGTGTGCTGACCATGCACAGATTGTAATCTGCACTGCCTTGCTGTGATCTGTAAAAATAAAATAAAAACGAAAATTAGTTTTTTTATTTTTAAATTTTTATGTACAGCAATAATTAATGCAGAATCTGATTAGAATGAATTATTTGAAATAATCCCCGGCAACGGCGCCAATTTCTTGATAGGCTTTTCAGTACCTGCGCAAACAGGGTTAAAACTCCTACAAAACTTGCAAGAATGACAAGGTTATTGTAGTATAAATGATTCTCGCAAGGTCGTTCTCCGCAGGGATTATTAAATAACTCGTAGCAACCAAATTCTAATTAATTATTGTAAAAGAGAAAGTTGAGATGTTTGATTTTAAGACCTTAACTTAAAACGAATTTAACTAATAAAAATAAGGCAATATGCAAACTTAAAGCTAAGGGCAAGAGAAACAGTTGTGTTTTTAGAAATTAAATTAAGAAAGCACTAGGGATCCGCCGTCACCTTAACAATTCTATATAGTTCTCCCAATTACTTATGACCTATACATGCATATTTCGAAGGTTAGGTATTCCTAATATATGCCTACTTGGACCCCCAACATAGAGCGTATATCACACATGCAATCCGTCTGTGGTATTCAGATCAAATCTAAACATACATGACTCATTAAGTTCTGTGAAACCTTTTGAAAAACCATGCAACCCTTAAGACGTGGTATTCATCCTAAGTGAACTTGCACATATTAATCACAAGAAGCCTTCGTCAATTTCAGGGACCGACCTCCGACCAAAACTGCATCAAATTACTTTTCTAAACATCCTAATGGTGATCAAGCATCAAGACACTTAGATAGTTTAACCCAGTGATGAATAATTCGAAAACCTGCATGCATATAATCATAAGCAAATTGGACAGAAACTACATATTCTTGCTAAGGCTCGTGGCCTCACCCTAGAAAAAGAGAGTTAGTTACACATGTTCATAATAAAAATAGTCAAGTTCTTCATTAAAATAATAAAGATCGAAAACACCTTGAAGTAGAAATTCTTCACAAATCCTAGCAAAGTCGCGTTCAAAAGCCAAAAGA